CCAAAGTTTGAAATCATTCTTATGTCTATTAAAAAGACTGATATAACAGTATTAAAATAAATATTGCATCAGATTTTCTGTATGACTGTCCCAGTTTGTACTTTACAATTAGCCATTTTACGTGCTTCTCTGGCATAGGGTGGGAATGCCCAAACCATAGATCTGATAGAAAGGAGTAACAAATCCCACACACCACCAAAACCGCACTAGTGCAGCAAGTATCCTTATGATCTTCAGGAATCCTCTGTGACTTTGTGTCACTGTGACTTAAGACCACTAGGTGAGAAGGGCCTGGCAGCCTCATCTACATTCCTTGTGGCTGCAGCTGTCACCTGACTGCATATGGGTGCGAGCTAAGGCCTACTACCTCCTGCACCAGCTTTCACGCTGAAGGCTCTGCAGACCAGGGGTCTTGTGCCAAATATAGCTCAGGAGTCTGTGAGGCACTGTGCTTGGGTGCCTCTCTATGCCAGCTCTCACCCCACCTTTGTGCTGGCATTGCCTCTGTCAGGTCTCTGCAGTGTCCTCCCTCCTGAAGTGGTTCCTCTCTGTGCCTGAAGATGACCAGGGCTTGCTTTGAAAGCCAAATGCTGGCATCCATGCCACACCTCTTGGGTGTGCACATTTGTGGAGTGAGTGTTCACAGACAGCTTAGACGTATGTGATCTGTGCAGTGTCAGCAGTTGAGCCCACACTTTTTCTGAATAAACAGGAGCCACCCTTGTGGTAGTGTGGAAGGTTGCACTAAAACTTGGGGCTGACTCTTGAGCAATGAAACTGGAAATCACATGTCTGTAATCAATGACCTGTCTTCTCTCACGTCGCTGTACCTTGAGCCTGTGATGGGAGTGACAGGCTCTCAGTGCCATTTGCGTCAGTTTTCTATTTTCCTGTCGAGCAGCATCTGGCTCCTTTCAGTCTCCACTGCTTTCCTTTCCACACATTCCCTTCACTTGACTTCAGTGTTCACTCTAATAAGTCTTGGTGCCATTTGTCATTTGGTCAATCTGGGAAATCTTCAGATTCTTGAGTTTTCCTCTCCTTTGAGTTAGTATTGTACCCTATCCTGCTGCTCTTTGCAACCATTATGTTATTAGAAATGAATTATGTTGGGCTGTTTGTGCAGACCATGTCTTTACTGCTGTACTATATTTATCACCTTTGCCTGATGTTCACATAGTGGATTACTGAGATTTTACAATATGCCTTAAACTTTACTTTATGTTTTTGCACTGTTCATTTTCTCCAGAAATATATTGTGTGTCATAGCTTTTGGTTTATCTTTTTTAATATTCATGCCTTCTGCATGAATTTTACTCTCATGCAGTAAGATCAATTCTGAAATATGGAACTGAATAGGATTTTGCGTATTAAAGCATTTGTGATTCTACCATACAATATTTAAACTGCATGTTTCTCACCATAAGAAAATTGATGACTCTTGCTAATAATTCACTGTTTAATTCATGTCCCCATAGTCCCTGGAATCCATAGCTGTACTTCCTATGTGCAATAATATGAAAAATGTAGATGATATTGTCACCAGAGTCACACAAGAAGTGTTTTTTGCATGCACTAATAAATTTCAGTGCATATTCACACAATAACAAGAATAGTATCTCATTTCATGAAGAGTGAAGTGTATCCCATGTGTAGATACAATTTCTTTGATGGAATTATCCATGAACTGGTAGACCTTTAGGTAGTTTCTAAATTTTAGTTACTGTGAAGAAGTTTTATAGGAATGTTATCTCATAAAATTTTGCATTAATGTGCAATTTCAACACTACTAATTACTCATTGACATAAATCATATGAAAAATTCATTTACTGAATTTTAAAAGATACTGAATTATTTGGACAAGTTACTGAGAGATGGTACAATACCATCACCATATTGAGGGTTCTAATTTTAATTTTTATCCATAAGATACAATATGCATAAAATGAAAAAACTTAAAATTATCTTGCTAAGCTTTGAATGTAGATAAAGCAATATTTATTCTTGGAAGCTTAAGAAAATTTTCCACAGCAGGCAAGTCCATAGTGCAATTATATAATTGTGCTCACTGTGACTAGGTTAGCAGATAGGAATTGCAGGAATACAGAGGGCCAGCGAAAAACATTTGGATCCCTTCAAATTTAGGAAAATAATTCACACATATCGTATTGTTGGTTGCATGTCTAATGGCATGTACTCACAAAACATGAGCACCTAAAATTTTAATTGATGAAATTGTTGATATGTAAATTATTTCAGTAAGTTTGTCAGTTATTCACAGGTTTATAGTTTAAAATAATAAACAGCTAAATTTGTACAAAGAAGATATAATGAAAGAGGAGGGCAGAGGACAATGGCCGCACTAGCAAACAAGCCCAGTGCGAACCAGTGCCATGTGTGGGAACCAGCACCAGACTGGGAATGGCTGGACCACAGCCCTTCCAGGGAGCGGGTTGGCAGGCAAGGGGTATCAACCCCATTTGTGACCAACTTATCCAGAGAAACACAGACTGTGGCGATAGCTGTGGAGGTGAAATGCAATTGGATGTCTGTGGTGTTCTGGTGTTTCATTAACCTTGCAGGGCTAGGGTCAGTGGTCTTATCACAGGTTCAGAGGTTAGGGGTACATGTGTGGCATCTAGGGGTATCTTCTTCTGAGGGTTACGGCCATTGATGCTTCCCTATGGTCTTTTTGTGAGCTCCTATATAATTTCCATTGCTTTGTTGGGTTGGGTTTTATTTTCTTTTGTTTTGTTGATTCTGTTAAATCTGATGACAGGAGCAGCTATTTCAATGATAGCAAGATATATTATGGTAGAAATTTTGGATTTACTATTGGCTTGTTTTGAAATCCTTTATGGCACTCATTCTTTTGTTTCTGTTGTTTCTCTTCTGTACTGATCTGTTTGATTTTTACCATGTCTGACGTTATCTGCAACTATTTTGAAGACAAGGAGAGGCATTGCGGTCATTGCTGTTGATTTCATATTTTGAAGTCCTGTATCTCTTATGCTGGCTTGATTTAATTGCTTTTATTCTGTTATATGCTCTTTAAAATAAAAAAAGCATCCATAATGAAAGACATACAGGCTCAACTACTACCCAAATTACATGGAGGGAAGTGGGTCCCAGGAGATGAGGAGTGAGGAGCACCTGTGGTCTCAACAGCTAAAGTCCCCCCAGGGTCTCTGTGCTCCTGTTCTGGGACCTGGAAGGGCTGGCTCCTGGGCAGCATGATCACACTGAGTGCTGTTCAGCTCCATCTGAAGGGACTGCACACCACTGGGATGTGAGGAGTAGGATCTGTGGGGCCTGATCCCTGCAGAGGTGAGAGATGTGGCTGGGCTTACACTGAGCACCCCTCCCTGTGGATCTAGCTTCCATCCAGACTGTTACTAGGTTCCCTGAGCTTCACTGGGACCTGGGCTATATGAACACAGAAGAATCTTTTTAAACACAAGTGATAACTTGAGTCCTTTGAGAATGTGCTCTCCTATTAAAAATCAATTTGTCTTTCTCAGACTGCAGTGGTAAGGAAAGACATGAAATCAGAATGTCAGGGGTAAGTATTACATGGAGAAATCCCCCATACTGACAGAAAACTATCTTTCACTTTCCTTTACATGTATTCTTGTGCTGCATACATGGAACAAAAGTGTAGGTAAAGTGGAGTGTATAGAAAGAAATGAGTGAATAGTAGATATTTTTACTAAACAAGGGTGCCAGTTCAGAAAAAGCATATAGACATTTGGAAATTGAAACTTTTATTCTTTCAAGTGTTATTAAACAAAAAATATAGATGAAATCCTTTCATTAAATGAATTTTTCTGGTGTTTCTCAAGAAACAGAAGATGAAAATAGCCATTTTGTATTTCTTTTTATTTTTTAAATGTTGTAATAAGTCTAAAGCACAGAAAGATCCTTTTTTAGTTCTTGGTGATTTAGTCCAATAAGATCAGCTCATTTCTCTTAATAAAAGTCTATGCATGTGAGTCAGTCACACGGCAGTATGCAAAGACATGGGAGACAACCGAGTCAATGGCTTAAATTTTATTATCTGCACCAAGTTATCTTGTTGCAAATGAGCTAAATCTGTCCCTGGGAACAAATTTGATGTCATTTCTAATGTGTTCCTAGTTAGTTTTAAAACAGTATATTTTTAACTTTATTTTAAAGAGGATAAAACTAAACATTACAAAATGGAACAAGGCAGATCAGAAGCAAACAATTTAAGAGACACAGATTTAAAAGCAAGACAACAGGAGAGCTTCATTGTCTATCATATTGTCTCCTGTTTTCTTCTAAGTAGGTGTCCATTTTATCTTCATATTATCTATTAGTGTGCTATTGTATTGAGAGACATCTATGCATGTGTATCCCAGAAAGAGAGACAGACAGAGACAGAAACAGAAGGGGTGGGAAAGGAAACCAAAGAAGAACAGTAGCATATATTTTATAAATTCTAATTTCTAAATTATGTAAATAAAATTCCAGGCAGATAATATTTGTAAAAGAGCTCAACGTTGTTCCTGGACACAGCCCTGAGTCCAGTCTACCTTCCCCTCTTCACCCTCTCCTGAGCCCAGGACTCCTCATGGTGCTGAGCTGAGCCTGGGGACCAGGTCTCCTTAGGTGCCAAGGAGAGCAGAGAGCTGCAAGGTCTCTGACTCTGTGCAGAGTGGTGAGAAAGATTTAATTTCCTAATCTCAAACATTTACTCTGACAATAGACAATCTCTCCTCATGATGAGAAAAATAACAACTTCATTGTACATAATAATGGTTAGATATTCAAAACACACTTCTCAACATGGACAAGTTATTTGCAAGTTACAGGCTTTTTAAGAAAATTCGTATGACAGGAATCAAAAAAAGAAAAAAAATACATGTATAACTAAATTTGTACCATGCATACTTCATAAGTCTGAAACCTCTGTACCTCTAGGCTTTTCCTGTGATGTGAAGCCAAAGAGGAAACCCCACAAGACAACAGGAAGCCCTCAAACACCAGCTCCTGGCACTGCTTCTGATTCTGGGGCTCTGGCCTCTGCTCCCTGGATCCTCATCGCCCCTTGCTGGTCATGAGGGTACCTACAGGAAGGTTTCTGTCTGGGCTCACAGTAACATTCTCTCACTGTGGCTGTAGTACAGTAATACACAGCGGTGTCCTCCGTTCTCAGGCTGCCCATCTGCAGATACAGTGTGTTCTTGCTGTTGTCTCTGGAGATGGTGAATCGGCCCTTCACGGAGTCTATGTAGTTTATAGTACTACTATCACCCTTGATCTCTGAGATCCACTCCAGCCCCTTCCCTGGAGCCTGGCGGATCCAGCTCATCCAGTAGTCACTGAAGGTGAATCCTGAGGCCACGCAAGAGAGTCTCAGGGACCCCCCAGGCTGCACCAAGCCACCGCCGGACTCCATCAGCTGCACCTCAGCCTGGACACCTGGAAACATAGAGACATCCTGCTCAGGAAACTGTCACTGAGGTCCACTGTTTACCCTACTCGTGCCTCTCATACACTCATTTTCTCTTCTTTTTCATGAATTACCTTTTAATACAGCTAGAAGGAAAACCCAGCTCACTGTGAACTTCATGGTGAGCCTGTGCTCAGTCCTGATCACCAAGTGGGAACAGCTGGGCATCCAGGGATGAATGGGCTCCTCTGCAGAGCTGCAGGCTGAAGGCTTGACTGTTTTTCATGAGCACAGGGAGGTCCTATTTGCATGGCCTCCTGCTATATAGACAGCTCTGTGGATGGATATCTCAGAAAGGGCATTGCACACGGCAGCTGTGGGTGTCCTGAGGAAGTTCGGTAACAATTGTAGCATTGAAAACCATTATGTGATAGAGTCTTGTTTTGTGTTTATCATTTGAGTTCATTTCACTTTTGTGCATATACACAGATCATGGGTTTTAAAATGATGCTTATTACTTTGTGGCCATGTAAAATGATGAAAGTGTCATAAACTGTTGTGTCATCTTCATAGGATCCCATGTCTTATAAGGTTATGCCCTCCATCTGGCCCTATGCTCTCCTATATTGTGAACAGACTGCTTCCTGATCCAGCTCCTGGACCCAGAAATGCACCTCCTGAGGTTCACATCCCTTCTCCCTGTGGTAAAAGCTTGTGTGCCTTTGCTGCCTTTCGCTGCTGTCAGAGAGGAAACCAAAAAGTGAATGTGTTGGTGCCTGTTAGCGGCTCTCTCTTTGTTGACTGTTGTAATCTCTCTCACTCTTGTTCTATTTTCACCTGTTGTTTATTTGTAAAAGCTTCACCAGATATAAGGCATAAACTGCCCATATGGAAAGTGTGCACTTGAGCAGTATTAACCCACAGGGATACTTGCACAACCACACACACCCGAAGCTGGGGGCACGCGTGTCATCCTCAGGCTGCTCTGCAATCCTTCCCTCACTCCTTTCCTCATGCATCCTGTCACCAGGCAGCTTGTGACCATCCTCAGGCTGCTTCACATTAACCTTTTTTCCTATGAACTCTGCTACATTGTTGCTGTGGATGTAAACTAGTTCTGACCTTTTAAATCATTGGGGATATTCTTCAAAGAACTGAAGGCAGAAATCCCACATGATCTCGCTATTCCCATTTTGCACATTTCTATTAAAGAGATAAAAGCATCGGACTACTGCATTGCATGCATAGCAGTGTATATAGCAACACAATTAGCCATAGCTAAATCCTGGAAGAAGCCAGTATACCATAAGCATAGGAATGGATAAGGAAAATATAGCATTTGTACATCATGGTGTACTACTCAGCTATAAAGGATAAATTTTGACAGACAGTCTTTTCTATAGGAGATAGTTCTGAGGTGAAACAGATACATGGAATCAGAGTATCTGGGGACAAGTATTATACGGATAACTTTTGGATCCTGACAGAAGCCACCTTTCACCTTCTTATAAATACTCTCTTGACATAGACACTGTGCTATCCCTGTGAAAACAACTGCTGCCTTCTGGTCCTTGGTGCATCTGCAGGAAGCTTTGTATCTGGTCTCACACTAATGTCCACTCACTGTGTCTCTTGCATGGTAACATATGGTGGTGTTCCTGGATCCGTGGCTGCTCATCTATAGATGCAGTGTGCCCTTGGCACTGTCTCTAGAGATGGTGAATCATCCCTTCACAGGACTGGCATAGTGTGTGTCACCATCACAGTGAGTGCTGGTAGCCTCTTCCCTGGAGCTGGTGGGCCAGTTCACCCAGAGGTCACAGAAGGTGAATCCAGGGGCTGCACGTGAGTCTCAGGGATGCACCCCTGGCTGCAGCCTGTCCTCCTGAACTGTACCAGCTGCACCTCACACTGGACACCTGCAAACACAGAAATACTTTGATTTTATGCTGTTTGTTTCATTGAATAAACTTGCAACATTGAAACACCAGAGATGATAAATACGATGCAAACATATGATTCAGTGTCATCTCAACTTTGCTAAACACAGACATTTTTAGATGTTTGTCAATGACCTTTTATAGAAAAGAAAGTAAATAGTAATGTGTGACATTTACCAGTAACATTGGCTTAGAACATACTTTAGACAACTTAGTTGAAAAAGTTTTGATCTGCTGAAAAAATTGGTAATTATGGAAATCTCTGAGTGCCTTGGTTCTTAATATCATTTTTATTGAATTAAATTCTAATTAAAGAGCATAATTTTAAGACCCTTTTCTGACATTATACGATTTTTCATTGTGAGTAGGTGGAAATGTGACTTGTATGTTATCATACATTTGACAGATTTTTTGTCTGTTAATTACTATCGTAGTAGTTTCAAGTTATACATATGCCATAATCAAAACATTTCCTGTGATAGATATGTAAGATGATGTATTTATAAACATTCGTACAAATTTATAGTGAATTTGGCTATCCTATTTTATATTGTAAAACATTCAAAAAGATTTCCTCTTCTTTGAGCAAAGAATACAAAATGCAAAATACAGATTTTAAGAACAGAAAATAGCAAACTGTATGCATTACACTTTTATTATACAGGATTTCTTATCTTTTGTGAGCTTTATTAGACAATGAATCGATTATTCTGGATTTTAGTTGTGCAGCATGGATTTTAAGTTTTGTTTCTTGCTATCTCTATTATCCCATAGCATCATTTTAAAAATGTCATAATACCGGTCTAAAATAATGAAATGGTAAAATGCACGTAGTCTTTCGGTAGTTTTTTTTTTTTTTTTTTTTTTTTTTTGGTAATATGTTTCATGCGCCACCTGCTGGCCGTAAGAGCCCAAGCACGGAGGTTTTTGGGCTCACACTGGGCTCACTGTCTCTCTCACAGTAATAAACGACTGTGTCCTCGAGTCTCAGGCTGCTCAAGTGCAAATACAGCGTATTCTTGCCGTTGTCCCTGGAGATGGTGAATCGGCCCTTCACAGAGTCTGCATAGTATTTGTTCCTACCACCATAGCTAATGGTTGTGACACACTCCGGTCTCTTCCCTGGAGGTTCATGAATCCGGCTCCTGGCATAACTACTGAAGGTGACTCCAGAGGCAACTCAGGAGAGTCAGGGACCCTCCAGGCTGCACTCTTGGACTCCACCAACTGCACTTCTTTCCTATTGACTCTGAGGACTTTTCAGCCCCAGCCCCTGCAAACACAGAGACATTCTGCTCAGGAAACTGTCACACATGTCCACTGTGTAACCCACTCATGTTCACTGACTCCCTCAGTATCTTTGTTATAAATAATTTAAATTTTAACATTTAGAACAGGAGAATCCATCTCAGTTATGGGTGATGAAGGCTTTTCAGGTCTTCAAGACCTGACTTCGGGGGAAGTCAATAGTGACTGCTATAATGTCCCTCACTCTCTTCATAGTAGCTGTCCTTATCTTTACTTATGCTGAAATTGAACATAAGAGACTAGACTAATATCACTCTGAACAATGAATAATAGTTTTGCTAAGTTTTATATCGTAATGTTACAGAATTAGCCCTGGGTTTCTTAGTGTCTCTTCTTAACAGTATGTGTTCATTACATCATGCATTATATAATCCATTCCTGTACACTGTTTAGAAATTCTCCCCATGAATCTCTACATGTATATATATCCTTTCTGTATTATAGAGAAAAACAGATCAAAACAAGACCAAAAACCCCAAATTCTTGGAAAAAATTGAAATGAAAAAAAAATATAAAACATTATTAGGTGATCTACAGTAGTTACTATGCTTTCTCTTGTTATTTTCAAAAAAGTTGTCCTCATCATCAGACATATAATAATTGAACATAGCATTACATAGCTATTTTAATAAGAACACAACTTTGGAGACATTGTAGGACTTCAAAACAGTTAATAATCAAACTGGAATGGATATGTCATTACATCTTGTCATCTTCAGAGTGGTTGCCTCTACTCTTAGACTCAATATTATCAAGCATACCAAATTCGAATAAGATCAGTCAAGGCAAAACAGCAGTTTAACAAACCAGCTTCAAATAAGATCAGTCATAGTAACACAATGTAAGTAATACAGGGCTTCAGTTTAAGTTAATAGGAAATTAAGGATAGTTACCATAGTATAGCTTGCTATTTTGGGGAAGCTATCTATGCCCTCAAATCTAGTTATCAGTAGACTGACCTGAACAAAATAAAATCAAACTAAGCAGAGCGATAAGATTACTGTGGCTTTTAAATCCTGATACACTATTAACAATGTCCTCTGTCTTCCTTTTTTAGGCAATTCCTCACCTTTCCCTTTCTCAGGATGCTTTGCATATTTTGGGTCCCTCTAACTCCTTTAGTTTTTAGATTAATGGGGCAACTCGTTATCTATTTGAGTGGTGCTGAACCTTTTTACCCCTGAGCTTGATCTTGAGCTGTACTCTTTTAGTTACTAAAGCCACAAGGTTTTTCTTCCTTCTAGCTTTGTAGTTCTACACTGCACAAAAGTGTCATAACTTTCTAACCTGTCTGCGACTGCTGGATGAGTTGTTCCTATTTCTCTCTGGTTCCCTGTCATTTAGAATTTTGTTTTCTCATCTTTGACTTTTAGTTTATTAACCTTCTTTCAGGTTGAGTATATTTCCTATTCAGAGCATCTCAATGGATCCTGACTCCTAATCTACTCTGCCTGTGTTTCTTTTTGTTAGTAGTACCTAGGCTATCTATGTTAAAAATTATAGCTCACCTTCTCTGCCTCAACTCTGCTATTCTATTCTTCTGCTATTATTTGTCCACTTTTCTCCTTCATTCCACTGTCCTCTTTGTTTATTGAGGCCTTTCTGCCACTGTTGCTGCAATTCTGGTCTCTCTCTCTCTCTCTCTCTCTCTCTCTCTCTCTCTCTCTCTCTCATCATTCAGTATTTTCTGTAGGGTTGGGTTGATGGCCATGAACTTCCACAATTCCTCTTTGTCTTGGAAACATCTTGTTTCTCCATAATTTTGAGATAGATTTTCAGGGTACATTAATCTTGGTTGGAAATTATTTTCTTGCAGAGCTTGGAATATTTTCCCTGAGGCTCTTCTCTATTTAATAGTTTGTGTTGATAAGTCTGTCATTATTTTGATGATTTGTCATTTGTAGGTAAACTGCTTCTTTTCTCTGGCTGCTTTTAATATTCTGTTCTTGTGGATTTCTGGCATCTTGATTATTATATGTCTGGGTGTAGATCTGTTTTGGTTGTAGGTGGCTGGAGTTCTGTATGCCTCATATATCAGAATATCGTTTCCTTTTCCTATGCTTGGGAAGTTTTCCTTAATTATTTCTGTGAATAGTTTTTGTAATTCATTTGCAGTTACTCCTGCTTCTTTGCTTATGATTTTTATTCTTAAGTTATAGATCCTCTTGTCGTCTTCTAGCCTTTGAATTATTTCTTGATTCCTTGTTATTTTTAACAGGACTTTTCTTTCATGATCACACATTATAAATCTCTCTTCAAGTTGTGAAAGGCTAACTTTTGTTTCTGTCAAGGCATTTTGCCAGCTTTCAATGGAGTTTTTAATTTCCTGGAAGTCTCTTTGGATCTGTTTCATGTATTCTAGATTTTGTTTATATTCTTCACCAAAGGTTTCTCCTTTTCTGGGTTCCTCCCTTTTTCCCTCTGTGTTTTTTTGAGAGGCCTTAGCATTTCTTTAATTAACCTTTTTATTTCGTGTCTCACTTGGGTTAGAATTTCAGTTTTAAGTTCATCTATGAAGTCACGAATGTATTTCTTTATGTCTGCTGATGTTGTTGCTAACATTGCATGATTGCTGGACTGATTCTTTTCTGTATTTACCTCCCTTAGGCTTATTTTACTAGGGTCAGTGGCTGGAGGTTTTGTCTCATCTTTTGCTCTTGTCATGTTTCTGGGTTCTTTCAGACAGGTGTGTGGAGAAGGTCTTAGGCCATCTCTGTATTTCTTACAGTTTTTCTAAAGTGTGCTGGCTGGGGTCTTGCTGCTCTCTCCAGTTTGCTATATGAGGTGGCATATGCAGGGATGCTGCAGGTTAGCCCCTCCCTTTTGAGGCACTCAACCTGAGACTGCCTTCAGCACTTTACTCTGTGCTGTGGTGGATGTCACAGGGTCTGAACAATTTCATCCCTGGCTATTGGTTCCCGACGAGCAGTGTGATTCAGCCCAAGCTGTTCCCACTAATTCTCTCTGGGCCAGGGGTGGTTGACTGATGCCACTGTGGCACCAGGCTCTGCCTAACTCCAAGATGTCTTCCAGTCAGCCTCCCACGCTATGGGACCCAATTTCCAGCACTCATCAAGAGCCAGTAAAACTACTTTGGTTTCACTCCACACTGTGCTGCATCCTCCTGCCAACAGCCCGGACTCACCAACTCCTGCTATCAGCAGCGTGGTTTTGGTGCAACCTTGAATCGTCCATCTCCATGGCACGCCCAGCACAGCATGGAAGGAGTCTCAGTGAGTGTGTCGGGCTTCAGCCCTCCACCCACCCTTTTCCTTCCTCTTCCTAAATTCATTTTATTTTTCTTTCAATTTTCTCCTGGGTTAGTGAGAATTGTTCTCCAATTGTATGGCCCTCTCCATGTTGTTAGGTTCTAGCATCTGGGCTGTTTTCCCTGGAGAGTTTCTATATACAGATTCCTAGCAAGCCAAATTTTTTTTCCTATCCAACCATTTCTTTTTCAACAGGAGAGCTGATGTGCTGTAAATGTCCTCCCTATAGTCTGGAACTATGCTCTCCTAAGCTGTGAATAAACTGCTTCCTACTCTGGGTCCTGGATAGAGCTCACATACCTAGTGATGATTCTTTTCCCCTCTTTCTGCAGGGAGAACATGTGTGATTTTGCTGCATTCTACTGTTTGCTGAAATTAAAAAAAACAGCATTTATGTGGATGCCTCATAATGAATCTTATTTGCAACTGTCATAGTCTCTCTTACCCTTTTTTATCTTTAGATATTGGTAATCACATATAACACATAAACTCCTGAAAGATGTAGTGTGCAACCAGAGAAATATTAACACACGTGAACACTTGCACAACTGCACAACCTCAGTAGTGAGCACACATGTCATCCTCAGTGTGTCCTGAGGCTCCTCTGCAATCACTCCCTCCTGCATCTCAACCTCAGCCAGCTTAGGAGCAGGCCTGTGTGGCTTTTCTATATCAACATCACACAAAGAGCCTACATTCTATATCTGTGGCAAAAAATATTTGTTAAAAATATCTTCACAAGATTATGTGTCTGTATTCACAGACACATATACGGATTAATTTCCCAATGTATGGAAATAGAGCAGGAGATACAGTTCAGTGCTAGATTTCTTTTCTCTTGGCTCTGAGGACTTTTCATCCTCAGTAAGGCAAAAACAAACAGAAAATGAGCAAACAGAAATGAGATATAAAATGCTCGGTTTTAATTCTTCAATGGATTTGTTAATGGTTATTTAAATATTCTAAGATTCTTGTGATTACGAAGAAAGCTGCTCATCATCTTGCAAATGTAGACACAGAAAAAATTGGTCTTTTTTACAAGAAGTGGTATGACTATAACCAAAAACCATTGAATTTACAGTAAATTAATAAATTTTGTTAAAACATCAAAGAATGATGTTACAAGGCAATAGAAATATGGAAACTGAGGATACCAGAGGAGCATAATAAAATAGGCCCAAGAATGACTACCTAGGACTGAGGTCACCCTAGGTCATGGGATAAGAAGACGGGCAGCTGGAAGCAGTTAGTGGATTACTCCAGATGGTCCATGCTGGAGCATCAAAGTGAGAGGATGGCAGATGTGTATAATAAAGTGTGAGTGTGTCTACTGTGAGGCGGTAAAAATGCACCACAAAGAGAAACTTACATGAAATACGGATTTTTTTCTTATATTTCTGGACACTAAAATTTCAAGAACAGGTAGTGACAGAGTTGGTGTCTGGCAGGAGGTAGCTGTGTGCCTCCACATGTTGTCCTAATCTGAACCCTTAGTTTTCCAGAGAGACGCACCCTATGTGTCTTCATTGCAGGGATGCAAAACAAGAGATCTGTTCCTGTCTCAAGAACCCTGATCTCATCTAGAAGCGCAGGATCCCCAGAAAAATTTCCCAGAAAGCACATTGCTTACTCATGATATCCCCTAGGGGGCGCATGGGCTCCAATATGGAGGCCCTGCAGGCCCCAGGCTTTCAAATTGCAACTTTCAGTCCTGACCTTCATCTTGTTTTATCTCTTACTAAAGTCTTTTTACTCCCGCACAGTAGCCCCAGAGTTTGAAATACTAATTTAAAAGTCTGTGATAAATAGCATCTGAGTAAACTATGCATCAAATTTGACTTTTATAGTGCGTGACTAGTTTGTTTTAAAACATCGTGTTTTTAAACATCATAATTATATACTTATGAGCTTACATAAATTAAAAAAGTATAAAGGCATAGATTTGAGAATGTTTAGAAGATAAATTGAAAATAAAAAGAGCTCAATGAGGTGCTGCACACAAACTTGATTCCAGTCCAGCTGCCCCTCTTCCTCTTCCCCTGAGCCCAGAGCTTCTAATGGGTCAGGGTTGAGCCCGGGGACCAGGTCTCCTGAGGCGGCCAAGGAGAGGAGAGAGCTGCAAGATCTCAGACTCTGTGTAGAGTGATGAGAAGGATTTAATTTTCTAATCTGAAACATTACTCTGGCAATAGACAGTCACTCCTTATGATGAGAAAAAATAGCAATATCATTGGAGATAATAATGATTTGACATTCAAAAGACACAACTTCTCAATGTATACAAACGACTCTGACTTTATTGAGTTTTTAAGAAAACTTATATGATCAAAATCAATAAAAAAGAAAAATATATATACTGAACTTGTATCTTGAATACTTCATGTGACATCTGAAGCCTGTGTATTTTGGGTCCTTTCTGGTTATGTGATGTTAAGACCCAGAGGAAACTCCAGAGTTCACCGGAAGCCCTCAGCCCCCAGTTTCCCACTTTGCACAGCTTCTGGGGCCTTGGCTTCTGTTCTGTGAATCCCCATTTCCTCCTGCTGATCATGAGCACCCCTGCAGGGAGGTTTGTGTTTGGGCTTGCACTGATGTCCCCTCCGTGTGTCTGTCACACAGTAATACATGGCTGTGTCCTCGGGTATCAGGCTGTTCATCTGCAGACACAGTGTGTTTTTGCCATTGTTATGGTTTGAGAACTGGTGGTCAACTTAACGCCAGATGGATTACATCAGCATGCATTGAGAGAAGATGCTTCACCTGAGGAGGGTTGCCAGGATAAATAGGCGGAGAAGAAGGGAGGTATTGAGAGGGATTGAGGAATTAAGGAAGCATTGTGGGTTCTCCTATGAGTTGCTGTCTGAGCTGTTGCTTCTTCTGGAGAAGCTTTGATCCTCACATCAAGCATTGCTTCCTGGCTCCCTGGAGGGGAAGACATGTGCTACTTTGGTCTCCAGGATGAACTCGTCATGCTGTTTCCTGGCATGTACCCGACTGTGCTTGTCATCAGAGGAGCATGGGGCCTCCGTGTCACTGAAGGCAGCTGTGGGGCTTTTCAGGACAGCCCCGGTCTTGGTTGTGAGTGTGACTTCTCAGCTCCAGCATAGAACCCTCATCCCACTAGCATGGCTCCTTCATCCTGCTGGCATGGACTTTCTGGCTTCCACCGCTGACCTTTGGGCCTTCCCGGCACGGATACATGAGTCCTTCTTGTGGGCTCTGGACCTCCAGTTGGACTCATGGGAGGCATTGTCCTGAGCTCTGGGTTTTTATCTGGACTCATGTGGAACATGTGCTGTGTGGTTTAGGCCCTTGACTAAATAATCTATGTCTTGGTGTTGTGGATAGATTTCCTGCATTTTTTTGTGTTAACTTCTGGTGACCATTATAAAAATATTATAAACTTCATGTCCTAATCCTAGTTGTTCTCTGTGTAAAACCCCTGACTACAACAGCCATTGTCCCTGGAGATGGTGAATCAGCCCTTCACGGAGTCTGCATAGCCTGTGTTACCATTATCATACCTAATCCATGAGATCCACTCCGGCCTCTTCCCTGGAGCTTGGTGGATCCGGTTCATGTTATAACCACTGAAGGTGAATCCTGAGGTCACACAGGAGAGTCTCAGGGATTCCCTCGGCTGCACTAAGCCTCCCTCAAACTCCACCAACTGCACCTCACACAGGACACCTGCGAACAGAGAGACATCCTGCTTAGGAAGCTGTCACATATGTCAATTGTCTATCCCACACATGCCACTCACTCATTTGGTATTTATTTTGTCATGAATTACCTTTTAAAATAGCAAGAAGCAAAATCCAGGTCAGCACCAGCTCCATGGTAAGTTATCTGGGCACAGTACCAAGTGGGAACAGCTGGGCATCTAAGGCTGGGCTCCTCTGCAGAGCTGCAGGGACAGGGCTGGGCTCATTTTCACCAGTGCAGGGAGGCCCTATTTGCATGCCCTCCTGTATATAAGGCCACTTCTATAGTGGAAGCCTCAGAGAAGGAAGGGCTCAAAGCACATGAGAGTGTTTTGAGATTTATTTTGTAATATCCCTAATATATAGAAGATATGTTTTCTTCTTATGTGTAAACTCATCTTTTTTTTCTTTTTTAAAAAATTTTATTTAAAAGGAAAAAGAGAAAAAAACAAAACAAAACAAAACAGTGTACGGGTACAAGTAATACAGAGCTACAAAAAAAAAAAAAAAAAAAAAACCAGTAAGAAATTACCAGTTAGTAGATTACACATTATCATCTTAGAGATAGTTGCTCAAGTCACAGGATTAAAGCATACAAAGTGGACATTCAAACAGTGAGACTGCAAACAGTTGTGTTCAATGATCCAACCAAAAACATTAATATGGTCATCTATTTAACACCCCTAAACACACTTGCAGTTGTATCCTTTAGAGCACTTTTTTCCTCTCTTTTTTGCAACAAAATTTACACATTTTGGGTTTTGTTACTCCCATAGTTCTTATTACATTTTTTTGGAAGAGAATAAAATCAAATATGACAAAATAAAGCTGTCAGTCAAAACCAAGGATAGACATACCACATGATGTAAAACAGAGTACAGGGTTATCAATAATGGCTACCATAATGCCTCTTGCTTCCTTAAAAAGAATTGTCTATCTCATTAGGTATTATAAAGTTGAACAAAACAGTAGAGAACAAGACCGATAAATCCTAAACCTTGTAAACATTACAGGACTTCCAAAGAAGATAATAGTTAAAGCAGAATGGGCATCATAGTGAATCTTATTGCCTTCAAAGTAGTTGCCTATACCCTCAAACTTAATACTATCATACAGAATGGAACAGAGTCTAATCAGTCAAAACAAGATAGCGGGAGTATTACAGGACTTCAAATCAAGTTAATAGGAAATCAAAAAAGTTACTATAATATATCCTGATATTTTTTTGATTTTTCCCCTTAATTAAAAAATCATAGAAAATAACTAAATAATTTTTTAATGAATAAGGGAGAGATTGAGATAAAAGAGGACATAACAATATAACAATGCAGGTCAAAGCAAGACAGTTTCAGCAACAGAGTGCTTCACCACCAAATAACCGGACTTAATAGTAGTTACCATATTGTCTTTTACATTGAAATATTTGAATATAACTTCATTTACTATAGCATTAAATATATCAAGACAGTGTAAAACCATTCAAGTGGATGAAAGCCTTGTAGGGTATTTAGAACCAGCTAACAGATAATGAACAATGGTTTCTATATTATCTCTTTGCCTATAACAATTTTTGTTTATACTATCACATGTAATAAAATCAAGCAAGATATAACATGATAAAACCAATGGAGACAGAAGAGCCATAGTTTGGTGGGGCTTCATAACAAGATGATATTAAATCAGCACCAGCTATTATGATGACTTGTTTTCTTCAAAATAGCTATTCATTTCATCACAGGCAATAATATCAAGCAGCCCAGAATAAAGCCATTCCAATTAATAAGTGAAAACTTTATAAGGCTTCAAGGCCACATAATGGGGAATCATGATTACCACAGACTTTTATATATTTGAATCATTTCTTACACTAGGGAAACTATTCAGTATTCATACATGCGTGATTGATTTATTTCACTTATGAGTACGGTTTTAAGCTGCGCCTATTTATTGATAAATATCCCAATGTGATCCTTCTTCATAGCCGGGTAGTACTCCATTGTATAGAAATACCACTACTTTTTAATCCATTCCTCAGTTGATGGACACTTGGGTTGTTTCCAATATCGGGCGATTACAAGTTGTGCTGCTATAAACATAGGTGCGCATATATCACTGTGGTATGATGTTTTCAGTTCTTCTGGGAATATACCTAGAAGTGGGATAGCTGGAGCAAATGAGAATTCCAATCCCAGATTTTTGAGAAATCTCCAGACTGACTTCCACAAAGGCTGTACCAGTCTACACTCCCATCAACAGTGCAGGAGAGTTCTTTTTTCCCCACAGCCTCTCCAGCATTTGTTGTTGTTGGTTTCCTTGATCCTGGCAATTCTTTCAGGAGTGGGATGGAATCTCAGTGTGGTTTTAATTTGCATTTCTCTAATGACCAGTGATGATGAGCACTTTTTCATGTATTTATTTGCCATTTATATTTCTTCATCTGAGAAGGGTGTATTCATCTCAGATGCCCATTTTTGGATTGGATTTTTGAATTTTGGGGGTCTGAGTTTTTTTTTTTTAATTCTTTATATGTTTTAGACAAAAGTCCCTTGTCTGAGAGGGAGTTCACTAAGATCTTTTCCCAGTTTGTGGGTTTTCATTACACTATGATGGAGATTTATTTTGACATACAGAAACTTTTTAATAAGAGGTGGTCCCAGTTATTGATTCTGGGAAGTATTTCCCATGCAATTTGAGTCCTGTTCATGAATTCTCTACCTACCCCTATGTCTTGAACATTTCTACCCAATTAGTCTTCCAATAGATTTAGTGTTTCTGTTTTAATATTCAGATCTTTGATCCATTTAGATTTTAGTTTAGTACATGGTGATAGGCATCGGTCTAATTTTAGTTTTGGGCAAATGGAGAGCCAGTTTTTCCAATACCATTTATAAAAGAGACTGTCGTTCTTCCAGTGTATCTTCTTGACTCCTTTATCATAGATAAGGTGGTTGAGTGTGTTTGTAGTTGTGGTTGTATCTTCTAATCTATTCCATTTGATCTTCAGCTCTGCTTTGATTCCAGTACCATGTTGATTTTACTACAGATGCTTTGTAGTATAACTTCAAGTCAAGGACTGTGATGCCTCCTGCCTTGCCTTTGCTGCTTAGAATTGCCTTTGCTATTCTAGGTTTCTTCTGGTTGCAGATGAATTTTAGGAGTAATTTCTCTGTATCTATGAGGTATGTTGATGGTATTTTTATTGGGATCGCATTGAATCTGTATAGCAGTTTTGGGAGAATGGCCATTTTCACAGGGTTTGTTCTTCCTATCCATGAGCAAGGGATGTCTTTCCATTTTGTGAGATCATCTTCAATTTCTTTTTTCAGTGTATTACAATTTTCGCTGTATAGGTCTTTCACTTCTTTCATAAGAGTAATTCCTAAATATTTCATTTTTTTTGCTTGCTAGTGTGAAGAGTGTGGCTTCTCTTATTTCTCTCTCTGTGATTTTGTTGTTAGTGTATAGCAATCCTATTGATTCCTGAGTATTGATTTTGTATCTAGCTAAATTACCAAATTTGTTTATTATATCTAAGAGTCTTTCAGTGGAGTTTAGGGGATCTTTATAGAGTATCATGTCATCTGCAAACAATGATAATTTAACTTCTTTTTTTTCCTATCTTTACCCCTTTTATTTCTCTCTTGTCTAATTTCTCTGGCTAGTACTTCCAGTACTATGTTAAATAGGAGTGGTGATAAAGCACATCCTTGTCTTGTGCCTGAATTTAAAGTAAAGGCTTTCAGTTTTTGGCCAGTTAGTATGATACTGGCTATTGGTTTTTCATAAATGGCCTTTATTATATTGAGGTAAAAAACATCTTTTCCAATTTTCTGTAAAGTTCTTATCATGAATGAATGTTGGACCTTATCAAAAGCTTTTTCTGCATCTATAGAAATGATCATGTGATTCTTACTTTTGGTTTTATTGATATGGTGGATTACATTTATTGATTTACGTATGTTGAACCATCCCTGCATGCCTGGGATGAATCCCACTTGGTCGTGGTGTATAATCTTCTTGATTATTTCCTCCTTCCTATTTGCCAATATTTTATTGAGGATTTTTGCATCTGTGTTCATTAGGGAGATTGGTCTGTAGTTCTCTTTTTCAGTTGGTTCTTTCTCAGGTTTTGGTACTAGAGTAATACTTGCTTTCAGGAATGACTTAGGAAGGATTGCTTCCCTTTCAATTTCATTGAAGAGTTTGAGGAGTGTCAGCATTAGGTCGTTGTATTTCTTGTAGAATTCTGCAGTGAATCCATCTGGGCCTGGGCTCTTCTTTGTAGGTAATGACTTAATTACATTTTCGATTTCATTAATAGAAATTGGGTTATTCAGCAGTTTTACATCTCCTTGACCTAGCTTTGGTACTTCATATGCTTCTAGAAATCTTTCTATTTCTTCCGTGTTATCAAACCTTTGAGAGTAGAGGATTTTGATATAGGTGTTGATGATCTTCTGTATTTCTATTGGGTCTGTAGTGATTTCACCTTTTTCATTCCTTATTGCATGAATTTGAGCTTTTTCTTCCCTTCTTTAAATAAGGTTGGCTAGGGGCTTATCAATTTTATTTATTCTTTCAAAGAACCAACTCTTTGATTCATTGATTCTTTGTATTGTTTCTTTAGTCTCTATTGCATTGATTTCTGCTATGATTTTTATTATTTCATTTCTTCTTTTGGCTTTTGGCTTGACTTGCTCTTCTTTTTCTAGCTGTTTGAAGTGTAGCATCAAGTTATTTATTTGTATTTGTTCTCTTTTCCTGATGTGGGAACTCAGTATAATAAATTTCCCCCTAAGGATAGCTTTCATTGCATCCCACAGATTCTGGTAAGTTGTATTTGTGTTTTCATTTGTTTGTAGATATTGTTTAATTTCTTCTTTAATTTCCTCTGTGACCCACTGATTACTCGAGTGTGTTTTTCAGTTTCCATGTGTATGTGGGATTTTTGCAGTATCTTTTATCATTAATTACTAATTTCATAGCTCTATGATCTGATAATATGCAGGGGATATTTTCAACAATTTTGCATTTCTTTAAATATGTTTTGTGAGTTAATTTATGGTCTATTTTAGAGAATGACCCATGTACTGCTGAGAAGAATTTGTATTCTGTTGTCTTTGGGCGGAATACTC